ACACTGATCCCCGGCTCAGCCCCTGCCCAGGCCTAAGGCCTTAGGCCGGGCATTAGGCCTGGGCAGGGGACCCCCTAGCCCCATGCGATTGCCAGCTCTGCCCCTGCCCAGGCCTCAGGCCTCTGGCTGGGGCATTAGGCCTGGGCAGGGGGCCCTAGCCCGCTCCGATCGCAGGCTCTGCCCCTGCCTAGGCCAGAGGGGCATTAGGCCTGGACAGGGGACTCCCAGCCCACTCTGATCACCTATCCAGGCCTCAGGCCTCTGGCTGGGGCGTTAGGCCTGGACAGGGGACCCCCAGCCTGCTCCGATCGCAGGCTCCACCCCTGCCCAGGCCAGAGGGGCATTAGGCCTGGGTAGGGGACCCCCAGCCCGCTCCGATTGCCTGCCCAGGCCTAAGGCCTCTGGCTTGGGCGTTAGGCCTGGGCAGGGGATCCCCAACCCGCTCCGATTCCCCTGGCTCAGGCCCTTCCTAGGCTGCTCAGGGCCCAGAGGGCCCTGGGAGTGACCTGGGTGCCCAATGATGTTTCCCGGACCCAGGGGGGAGAGACCTAGTATGCAAATTAACTGCCATCTTAGTTGGGTTAATTTGCATATTTGCTCCTGATTGGCTGATGGGCGTGGCTGGTGGGTGTAGCAGAGGTATGGTCAATTTGCATGTTTCTCTTTTATTAGATTAGGTATGTATCTATATCTACATCTACATCTATATCTATATCTATGAACAAACTCATAGGCACTGGATCATCCTTATTTTGCAGAAAGATAAGGTGTAGCATTGAGAGGTTAAATAATTTGCCTAAAGTCATTCAGCTACTTAAGAAGTAAAATCAGGCTTTGAACTCCGATAGTCTGGCTCTTGAAACTACATGCTTAATCCCTGTATTGCCTCCATATTCTGCTCTATAATGCAGCTAATGTTTATTTTAATCTAAACATGTTTCATGTTATCTGTAAGTAAAATTGATATTCCAGGAAGATGTGCCCTGCTTATTCTGTGGCTTTACCCCCTAGTTCATATATGTAACACGCTTTGAAAATCGTGTCTATAGAACTGTGCTGCCCAATGCAGCAGCCTCTAGACCAGTGGTTCTCAACCTGTGGGTCGCGATCCCTTTGGTGGTCGAATGACCCTTTCACAGGGGTCGCCTAAGACCATCCTGCATATCAGATACTTACATTACGATTCATAACAGTAGCAAAATTACAGTTATGAAGTAGCAATGAAAATAATTTTATGGTTGGGGGTCACAACATGAGGAACTGTATTTAAAGGGCCAGAGGTTGAGAACCACTGCAGTAGACGAATGTGGCTTTTTAAAGTTAAATTGATTAAAATTAAACACAATTAAAAACTCAGTTCCTCAGTCACGCTGACCACATTTGAGGTAATGGATAGCCACACATGTGCCTAGTGGCTACCATATTGGATAGTGCAGAGCCTTGACCATTTTTGTCGCTTCTGAAAGTTCCTTTGGATAGTGCTGCTCTAGATCATGTAGACTTACACAGAATCCGACTAGGAAACTGAATACTTGAACCATATCATTTGATCCCTGCAAGTTTGTATTTTTTGAGTAATAGTAGTATGACAGGCAAACCCCCAAATCCAAGTGGCTTTGCACAATTGAAGTTTTTGTTTCTTTCATCCATTGAGCCTGATTAGTGGGGCAGTTTTCCTCCAAACAGTGATGTCGGGTCCTGAGATTCTTCCATATTCTCCATCTTCAATATATAGCTTCCAAGGTCACTGCTTGCCTGTTTCAAGCTATCAAAATGGGAAGGAGTATGGAGAAAGTGTGTTTTTTATGGACTGGGCCTGCATATGGCTCATACATCATTGCCTTGAATTCAGTCATATGACCACACCCAACTGCAAGGAAGGCTGCAAACTATAGTCAAGCTATGTGACCAAGTTGAAGAGGAAATGGGATTGGTGGGCACCAAGCTGCTATCTGAGGATATTTTTCAGTATGACTCTTATCTCACTAGAAGCCTGATGCACAAAATTCATGCAAGAGTAGGCCTTTGCAGCCCTGGCTTCGTCCGGAAGGGCATCTGGACAGTTGTTCTGCTGCTTGGCCGTTTGGTTGATTTGCATATTTATGCTTTTATTATTATAGATATGTGATGATCCATGATGCCTTGATTGCCATGGACAGACTTATTTTCCAGGAATTACTGGTGTACTTTTTCTTTATGGAAAAAGAGAATTCTGAAACTTTCACTTAAAAATTTTTTTATTGAATTTATTGGGGTGACATGGTTAATAAATATATATAGGTTTCAATATACACTTCTATAATACATCATCTGTATATTGCACTGTGTGTTCACCACCACAAGTCATCTTCTTCTGTCACCACTTATTGACCCACTTTACCCTCTTTTTTTAAAAAATATATTTTATTGATTTTTTTACAGAGAGGAAGGGAGAGGGATAGAGAGTTAGAAACATCGATGAGAGAGAAACATCGATAAGCTGCCTCCTGCACACTCCCCACTGGGGATGTGCCCGCAACCAAGGTACATGCCCTTGACCAGAATCGAACCTGGGACCCTTCAGTCCACAGGCCGATGCTCTATCCACTGAGCCAAACCGGTCAGGGCCATTTTACCCTCTTGTATCCCTCACCCCCCTTTCCCTCTGGAATCCTCTGGTTGTCTATGTCTGAGTTTTTGTTTGTCTTATTTGTTGCTCTCAATTTTATATGCCACATAAGAGTGAAATCATATGGTTCTTTGTCTGTTTGACTTTGCTTAGCATGATGTTCACAAGTTTTATTCATGTTGTCGCAAATGGCGGTATTTCATTTTTTCTTCTGGCTGAATAGTTAGTATTCCATTGTGTATATGTATCACATCTTCTGTATCCAATCATGTATTAAGGGACACATTGGTTGTATACATGTCTTAGCCACTGTGAATAATGCTGCAATAGGGGTACACATGTCTTTACGAATAAATGCTTTCTGGGTCATAGGGTAATAACTCTGTTCTTAATTTTTTGAGGAACCTCCATACTGCTTTGCATAGTGGCTGTATCAATTTATATTCCCATCAGCAGTGAATGAGGGTTCCTTTTTCTCCACAACCTCTCAGACACTTGTTATCTATTGTCTTGTTGATAAGAGCCATTCTAACAGGTTTGAAGGGGTAGCTCATTGTGGTTTTGATTTGCATTTCTCTAATAGCTAGTGAATATATCAGCCATTTGTATGATTGTCAAGATGCTCATAGCCAAATCTGTATTACAAGTATACACTGAGTGGCCAGATTATTATGACCACCCCATCAGTACTTCATTGACACTTCCAAAAATACTGAATATTGAAAACTTCCTAAGCAAATACTCTCAAGGTTTTATTATTATTTGCATAACTAATTGACTTCATTGTACTGATGGGGTGGTCATAATAATCTGGCCACTCAGTGTAATACTGGTAGAATTGTAAAGAATCCTAAGCCTACATGATTGCATTCTAACTTTCTCATGTGCTTGGTTTTCTCTTTAGTCTTTTTTTTTATTCTGATTTTTATGAATTTATTATATGTGTTTGTATTTATATTGTATAAGCTGTCTCAACTTATTTGTTGTAATAAAGTAAGATTGTAAATAACACTGTCTTTCACTGAAATGCAAATATTCAAAAATCATCACTGGTTATTTATAGTCACATATTCTCTCTCTTTTGGTGTAAAATATTAATACCGCAGAAAGTTCCAGAAAATGACATAACAGGAACCCTTGTTTTGTGATTTGGATTTTAGCATGTGTAACATTTTGCCCTAGGCGCCTTAGGTCTTGATTTTTAAGATAAATAAAAAAAACAGATAAAGCCATTTTTCTTTATAAATTTTATGAATTCTTTATAAAAGCTCATAAATTGTATTTCATTGTGTTTGAAAACTTAGGTAAAAATTCAAGATGCCTGGGCGTTCCAGTTCAAATTCAGGTTCAACTGGTTTTATATCCTTCAGCGGTGTAGAATCTGCTCTCTCCTCCTTAAAAAACTTCCAAAACTGCATCAACACTGGAATGGACACAGCTTCTAGTGTTGCTTTGGATCTTGTGGAAACTCAGAGTAAGTAGTCATAATTAAAATGTATTTCTTTTGTGTCTACTTTGAGGTAACTTGTGTGGGGGCATTATGCTAGGGATGCGAGGTATTGCTCACTTTGTGTGTACCCTTGGGGCAGTCATTTAATCCCTCTGGGCACCTGTTCTTTCATCTTGTTCTGTATGTCATATAGCGATGTGCTGAGGAAGAAATGAGAATGACTCATTCATGTGTGTTCAAGCAGTTATGTGCCAATAGGAACTGCACTAGAAATTTATGGGCTAAAATATGAAGGTTCCTGACCTCAAGGAACATACAATCAAAAGTATGTGGCATTTGTGAACTTTACAGTATACAAATGCATTTGATAAATATGTTTTCCAGTAACTTAACTCTGCAGTGGAACCTCAGTTCTCGAACTTAATTTGTTCTTGGAAGGCTGGTGGAAAACCCAAGTGTTTTTTTCATTAGAAATAATGTAAGTTGAATTAATCCATTCCAGACCCCCAAGTGGTTCCCTGTTTTAAACCTTTCTTATATACAGTAAATGTCTAATGTACTGTTTAACCTATAAATAAACACTTTAAAAACAAAAAGGACATGGAATGTAAATAAAAATTTAACAAAAAGGAAAAGAAATGTACAGTAAAAATGAAAATTTAATAATAATAATAATAAGCGGCAACAAACTAAAAAAAACACCTATGAAACTATTCACAGCACATTATCCTGAGATGTTAATGATGGTAAACTGACTCATACTCTCGCATTCTCTCCTTCATTTGTTGCCTGAGAGACACATGGCTGACTAACAGATAGTATGAAAGGGTTGTCGTGTCAAGAAGCGAATTGTTCGAGATAGGAGATATTCAAGAAACGAGGTTTAACTGTATTTTGATCACCTTATAGACAGACTAAGCTTATGCCAGAGGTACTACTGCCAAAGGAAGGCCTCTACAAAGGAGACCAGCTTCAATGGACTTGACCAACATTTTTCGATCAGAATATCTAGAAAGATGTTATTTGCTTTCTTTGGATTTCAGTTTTTTTAATCTTATACTAGAGACCTGATGCACAAAATTCGTGCAAGAGTAGACCTTCCCCTGGCTGCCAGCACTGGCTTCCCTTTGGCACCCGGGACCTGGGCTTCCCTCGCAGCCCTGGCTTTGTCGGGAAGGACATCTGGTCTAATTAGCATATTATGCTTTTATTATAATAGAATAGATGTGGAGGCAGGGGATCAATATTATCTTTTTGTTTTCTTTTTAATATCATTGGTTTTTGTAATTTGATTGTGATGTGCCCTGGTAGGATTTTCTTTGTTTATTCTGTCTAGTGTTCTTTGAGCTTTATGGATTTGTGGGTTTACAGTTCTGATAAAATTTGGGAAAATTTCTGCTGCTATTTCTTCAAATACTGTTCCTTCTTACCCCCTCTCCATCTGGGACTCTAATTACAAGTCTGAGGCTCAGTTGGTTTTTTCCCCCAGTCCTTTTTCGCTCTGACACTAATTTGAAAAGTTTGTATTTCTATGTCTTCAAGTTCACTATTCTTGTTTTCTGCAGTGTCTAACCTGTTGTTGAGTCTATTCAGTGAATTTTTAATTTCATGGGGTGGATTTTTCAGCTGTAGATGACATAAGAAAGAATTAAATGGAATCCTATTTCTATCTTGCATTTCTCTCTTCATTATGTTCATGTTATCTTCTATATTCTTGAATATGTGGAGCATATTTATATAGCTGTTTCAATATCTTTGCTAGTTCTGTCATCTCAGTTTATTGCTGCTGCTTAACATCGACATTGTATGTATTATGTTGTTGAGCGTTTGGATTTTGTTGTCTTCCTTTAAAGAGTTTTGGTGTTTGTTTTGCCAGGAAGTTAAGTTATTTGTGGATTGAGCTGATCCTTTAAACTTTGTTTACACTAGGGAAGGTCTAGTGTAGTTTTTAGCTTTGTTACCTTGGCCTTTCTGGAGTCTCTGTTGATTGTCTGGAGGGTTCTGTGAGAGCTCTGCTCTGCTGGGTGGAATCTGAATGTCCTTTTTTATCTTTTAAGTTTTTTTTTTAATATGTTTTTTAGTGATTTTAAAGAGAGGAAGGGAGAGGGAGAAAGAGAAAGAGAATCATGGATGTGAGAGAGAAACATCAACCTGTGCCTCCCGTATGCACCCCAGCTAGGAATGAACCTGCAACCTGGCCATGTGCCCTGACGAGGAACGTCTTCCAGTGCTGTGTGAATTCTGGGAATTGTTCACTTTACAGCTCCCAGCTCTTCCTCAGCAGCTTAGGCTTCAGCATCAAGCCCAAGGGATTCCTGTGCAGATTCCTAGGGCACTTTCCCTGCGTAGCTCCCTCCCAGGGCTCTGTCTTGCAAACCCCTGCTGCCTCCGCCTTCCTGAACTCCAGTCTTTGGCTCCTAGGTCCT